CAAGAGATTTCAGATCCCTTCTAGTGTCTTCACCACCATCTCTATTGATTCTATGAAACTCATCATTGTAAATTGAGTCACTCTTGGCCATGTTCTCCACAAGCTCTAAAGCTTCAGCTTCAGTTCTTCCTAAGAAGAAACCATTGCTAGCAGTGTCTAGCATGCTCCTATACTTTGGCAAGACTCCTCTGTCGAAGGTACTAAGCAAGCTCTCCTTACTGAAACCATGATGAGGACACTGAGTGATGAAGCCATTAAACGTCTCCTATGCTTCACCAAAGCCTTCAAGGTTCTTTTGAATGAAACCAGATATCTCATTTCTAAGCTTAGTTGTCCTTGAAATAGAGAAGAATTTAGTGAGGAAGGCTTTCTTACATTCATCCCAAGTGGTGATAGAGTCTCTTTAAAGGCTCTTCTCCCAAGTGTGGGCTTTGTCTCCCAAAGAGAACGGGAACAACCTCAGCTTGAAAGCATCTTCAGAAACACCATTGATCTGTGTTGTCCCACATAGTCTATCAAAGCTATCAAGATGGTCTAAAGGATCTTCAAGGGCAAGACCATGATTCTTGTTGCTTTGGATCATGTTGATAAGGATGGACTTGATCTCAAAGGTGGTGTTCTGAACAGCTGGAGCTCGGATACCAGCTCTATGCCCATGAATGTTTGGTTGATCATAGGCGCCAATGGCTCTAGCTTGGGGTGGGTTGGGTTGTGGTATAAGGTTTTCAGCTCCTTGACCAATGCCTCCTTGAGGGAGAACAGCCTCCTCTTGAGGTAAGTGGTTGTTTCTCTCCATCTCTAGCTCCAAATCTTCTAGTTGGGCTAGCCTCTCTTCTTCTCTCCTTCTTCGTATCAACTCTCTCTCAAGAGCTTGGATGTCTTGAGCTGTAGGTTAGAGGTTTGCAGCTCCTCTACTTCTCAGCTTCATACACCTGCAACCAATCCAAGGGATACAAAGAAGAAGAAATCAGTAACGAAAGCAAGTAAATAAGATTTAGTCTCAAGCAATGACTAAATCCCGATGTCAATCAACAACTCAGAAATGGCAACGGCGCCAAATTTGATAATGGTTTTTAAGCCTTAGAGAAAATCAACGTAGTAAGGTAAGTAGAGTGTCAATCCAATCCTGAAAGCTATTGAACAAAGAGAATGCAAGACATTGCTTAATCTAATGCAATCAATGAGGGTTTGTTTTATGAGTAACTAGTAACAAGCAATATGTAAACAAGAATAACTAAGCTTTGGTTTCAATGAGATAAAAGAGCATATGGATAAGGGTATTGACTTTGGGTGATCAAGTTACTATCTAGGGTGAGGTTTCAAGCAATCATTCATATCCTATAGGTCTAGACACAATTCTAAGCTAGTCCTTTGGTTAAGGTAAAAGCTCATTTGCTATCAATCTTTAAACACAAATGGTCATTGGTCTAAATCAATCAAGCAATCATTGAGAACAAGTCTACTAACCATCTAAGCCTTCCTAACATGAACTATCCTTGGTTAAGCAAGCAAAAAGCATTATTACTTTGGTTCATGCATTTCATCATACACCTTGTGGGCACGAAATGCCTAATGATCTAGTTTAGAAGGATTAGGTCTAATCTAGCATTGGGAATAAGTAATAAGCATATGACAAGAAGGATCTAACACTAATCACCCTAGATCATCACTTAATCACCCTAATCCCCCTAACCCATAAGCTCAAAGAGAGTCTACTCACTAATCTTCATGTTTAATCTTAAACCCATAATGGATACAAGACTAATCATGATTAGAAGAAGAGATAGTCTCCAATTACTCAAGAAACAAAGCTTATATTAATCAAGAATTCAACTTTTTCAAGAATTCAATTGGATAGTCTCCAACTAAATGTATTTATAGGGTTCTTAAAAACCCTAATTGGCCCAGACAACAAGCTGAGAAGGCCCAACAAAACATAAAAATCGTCTGATGAACAGTGCTGGAGCGGGTAGAGGGGGTCGCTGCGCAACCCGCTCCAAGATGCGCTCAATGTACAGCGGGTGTGATGGACCGCTCCCACATCCCCGCTCTAGCACTTAGAGGAGATAATTTCCCAGGTGTGTTCTGTCCAGAGCGGGGTACATTGGCAGCTGCGTCTAGTACATTGATCATAACTCCTCCAATACATCTCCAAATGACTTGATACCACTTTCATTAAAAACACAATTTCCCATTTACTTACAAAATATGAGCTTCAAAAGATATCTTTAAGGTATCCATCCATGTTCATCTTTCACCCTTTCGCATCACAAATATCTCTAAACACCTCCAAAAGCTCAATAGGACACTCCAACACCTGAGAAAAACTTATGAATGCAATATGGATCCTAAAGATCTCTAAACCTAAATATATATGATGATTTATGTACAAAATGAAATGCTAAAACTATGTAAATATGCATCATATCACTGGGTCTGGTAGTTAACCAAGTCCATTCCAACGTCCCAGAATATTAAAGGCGTTTGTTCTTGAGGGTTTTGGTTAGAGAGCAGGTTAACAGGTTCAGAATTTGTATCTACAATCATAGACAAGTTAGCATCTTCCATATGTACTAACATGTTAAATTAATATCATTAAGGGGGTTTATTGACCTTGGAGACACATCTTACCTCCAACAGCATTACTCGGTTCTCCACTTTGAAGATTGATATTATTAGCTTCGTACATGACTTTATCATCATCTTCCGATCCACAACTATTACCTCAGTCAATCCTATGGTATTAGTCAGTATATGTGGTTGATTCTGGTCAGCAAAAGCCATCTCACAGGTCAGACACTGAAATAAAATTTACGAATTTTCACTGAATAGAGGGTTCATAACTTTCTTTGTTTCCTTATCTCGCTCCCCATAAACAAACCCTAGACAATGCGTCATATATAAAAGATTAGCTTTTTCCATCCGTTGACTAATATTTACATAACAACTTTACCAATATTTATTATGAGAAAATGACTAAAATAGACCTTAAAAAGTTTTTATCACAAATATAGACCTTAACAATTAAAATGACCACAATAGCACTTAAATGTTTTAATAAATATACATTTATACCCCTGGGTTGACTAATCCTATACTTTTTTGTTTAGAGTTGAAGAGTGGGATTTTAGAGATAGGGTTTCGAATTTTAAAAAAAATTAAGAAAACTTAAAATTTTCAAAATAAAAAGTGCTATTTTGGTCATTTTAATTTTTGAGGTCTATTTTGTGATAAAAACTTAAAAAATGGCTATTTGAGAGAATTACCCATTTATTAATTTACTTTTGTATTCAGCTCGGGATTTTTCAGTTTGTGTGTTGTCTACGACATAAGTTGTTGTTCCAATGGTGAAACTTTTTCTACAGAGAAACTCATACTCAGCCACCCTCTTAGGACCAATCATCACAAGTAAAGCCAGATCTAAGATAGATGTCCTTACGTTAAGCAACACACATAGATCAGTTGTGTGGGTTATTGTTGTAGGTGGTGTTTTGTAGCCCACTGGTGATAACATCCAACTTGGGAGATGAAAGGTTAGAACGAGGGGAGTTGTCTCGCATAGAGAATAACGTTTCCTAACCATATCTTTGATAGATTCATATGTTTCTTCCTCCTCGATCATCACCCTTGTTCCCAGCTCATCGACATCAAGCTGGAAATGCCACTCCTCTTCAGTATTCTTCTTCCATTCTTCTCTCCAGAGCTTTACACAAATGGGCATCTAAGAAAACAAGAATCGAAATTTGCGATTTAGATATTCTATTAAGGTATAAACTTCTGTAACGACCGCAATAACAATAAATGAGTTAGAGTTTTCACAGATAAATACATAATTTCAATGAAACTAGGGCTTCATATCATAGATACGATTCAAGGAGTACTTCTTAGTCGTTTATCAGCTACGTAAATTGATGCTCATTTAATGAAGAGGACATAAGAAATAAAGTCTCTCGACTACAAAAACTATCTCACACTACCTATCCAACTCAGTAGAAAGCTACCGTAAATGATTGATAAAGTTCTTGTAATTTTTCTTCTTTTGGTTTATGACCGAAGGTATGAGGAAAATGTTCTGAAGAAGCTTTTCAGATTACTGTCTTTTATAGACAAAAGGAAGAAAGAAGATGAAGCATCGCCTCTGCTTACATTCTTGTTATATGTATAGCTTTTAGATTCGTGTTGGATAAGCTATTCCAGCGCCGCTGGTGTCAGAATTTTCACGACCCAGATTAACTTTCCTCTGATACAATATCTATTAACCTCCTTGGTAAGGAAAAAAATCTGCAGAAAATATTTTTATAATCTTAATAAAATCTATGAAAATTACCCTAGCTTACCATGTGTTTTAGATCAACTATGGAGAGGAGTATTCCGTAATTGCACACCCTTCTGGTAAGTATCGGACCTATTATTCATATCTTTTAGCATATCCCTAATTTCACTATGTTTCAATATATTGGGATAAATGACTCTAAGACTCTACAAGTTATACAACTGAGAGAAATGAGTCTTGTTTCTCTTTCCTTGCTTATCTGGTTAAGTATATTATAAAACTACTCTAAGCTTTTTGGCTGCATACCATTCTGCTTTTGTGTATATTGATCTTCTTGGCCATTTCTGTTAGAACTTGCGACAGGCTATAGATGGGTACTGTTAGCCGATTGCATAAAAAAACACATCTGTCCACATTCTTATTTTAGATTTTACAGAATAAATTTGTGCTAGAGGAAGAAGAAACCCTCCAATAAAGGCTCTCACCCATTTTAAGATTTTACCTGATTCCTAATTACAGATTACTTCTTTTTGTTGATGCCATCTAATTCGGTCCTGTTCCTTCCATTTCTTTTCTTTAATCCTTTCTTTTACAATCTAAACATTTCTCTATTTCCCGGTGAGAATGTTTTGAAGAAAAGAGCCTTAGGAATTGGAAGATTCATGCAGAAAATGTATTCGTATAATCAATAATAAAAAAGTGTGTTTGTGTTTAAAAATAATAAAAGATGACGAGTGGTGGTGGAAAGGGAGAGAAGATATTTGTTTCAGTAAGGGTAAGGCCGCGGAACGACAAGGAGAAGACTAGGAACGATATTTGCGATTGGGAATGTGTCAACAACACAACTATTATCTGCAACAATAATTTGCCTGAGAGATCTCTCTTCCCATCTTCCTATACATTCGGTAACATATTAATAAATAGCCAGAGCTAACTAAACCATTGTGGAGTTAAAGATGCTAAGAAAACAAACTGACAATTTTATACAGACAAAGTGTTTGGATTCGATAGCCTTACAAAACAAGTCTATGAAGATGGAGCCAAAGAGGTTGCTCTTTGTGTCCTCGAGGGAATCAATTGTAACAACGAACAACCTTACCAATGATTTGATTTGTTCTTGTCTCAACGAGTTTGGTTTGATACATTTGGTTTTGCAGCAAGCATTTTTGCGTATGGACAGACAAGCAGTGGGAAGACGTACACGATGAGTGGCATCACTGAATTCGCAATTGACGATATTTTTTGTTACATTCTAAAGGTTAGAGCATTGACATATCTCCCTATTTTTATTTTTCTTCATCGCACAAAACCAACCCTCTTCTTATTATTTTGCTTTCTTCAGCATAAAGAACGGGAATTCACTCTCAAGTTCTCTGCAATCGAGATCTACAATGAAGCTGTGAGGGATCTCCTTAGTGGAGATAATAATCAGTTGAGGCTTCTAGATGATCCAGAGGTTAGTTATTTCACTTGCTTTTGAATTTACTTTCGATACACTTTCTCATATTCTGCTTCGCTAGAGAGGAACCGTCGTTGAGAAACTTATTGAGGAGACCCTTCGAGACAGAACCCATCTAGAGGAGCTTCTTTCAGTTTGTGAGAGTAAGTAACACTCCCTGACCAGTATTTGTTGTTTCAAATGATGAATGTTAAACAATGAACATATATCATTGCAGCTCAGCGGAAGATTGGAGAAACCTCACTGAATGAAACAAGCTCCAGATCGCATCAGATTCTCCGGCTGGTAACCCACCTTATCAATATTGTTTCTTCGATTCTCTTGAACGCGCACTATGCTAAAGTTATCATTTCCTGCAGACTATTGAAAGCTCTGGTAGAGAATTTTCTTCAGACACACTTGCAGCATCTGTGGTATGATGAGCAATGTTTTTGATTTATTGACTTTTTTATGTCATCTTTCTTTTCTCTGATTTCAAATGTCTTTGGATTCTCTGCATCTCAAGTGCTTTGTTGATCTGGCTGGAAGTGAACGTGCTTCTCAGACTTTATCTGCTGGTGCAAGATTAAAAGAAGGTTGCCATATAAACCGGAGTTTACTTACTCTTGGAACCGTCATCCGCAAACTAAGGTTTGACTTTAATAATCCTCTTCTACCAAATAATGTGTTTTAACAGGCAGTGTAATTTATGTTGAAACACAGTAAAGGTAGAAACGGCGGGCACATACCGTATCGAGACTCAAAGCTAACTCGAATCCTTCAGAACTCTTTGGGAGGAAATGCGAGAACAGCTATCATATGTACAATGAGCCCTGCCCGTAGTCATGTTGAACAGTCGAGAAACACACTTCTCTTTGCAACATGTGCTAAAGAGGTGACGACAAACGCTCGGGTCAATCTAGTTGTGTCTGAGAAGGCTTTGGTGAAGCAACTGCAACAGGAACTTGCTCGAATGGAGAATGAGTTGAAGAACATAGGATCTACTTCTTCTTCTTCTGCAAGCACTGACTTCTATTTATTGCTGAAAGAGAAAGAGGAAGTGATTGCAAAAGTGATTCAAATGCCTATTATCACATTGCTCTTCTTTTTTCTAACTATTAAGTATACTCACTTTCTTGACGACCAAAATTGCAGATGGAGGAACAAATGAAAGAAGTAAAATGGCAGCGTGATGTAGCGCAATCTCGGGTGGAGACTTTGCTTAAAGCTACAGCAGAAGAGCGGTCTTCTAGGATGGATGAACATTCAATGTTAAGCTCCATGGATTTTGATGCAGATCTCCGAAGAAGAAGCTATGATTCAATAAATATTTGTGAACCTAGTACCGTTAATGACTTCTCCGTGAGGAATTTTGAGTTTATCGAAAACTCTGAAGAAGATGAAACCCTGGTGGAAGACAATGCTCATCAATTTTCAAGGTACAATCTGTACAACGGCTGGGAAGACATTGTTCAAAAAACAGACGAAAAAGTGGAAGATGCATGCAAGGAACTTACATACATCGAGGCTGAAGCTGACCAGAGTCGTGTCCAAGCAGCAACAGTCGAAAGCCATGACGACATTGTTGATAAGAAAGCTGTGTGCGAGGTTCTCTCACCCCGAAAGAAAGAAACTATATCAGCTCCGGAATATGAACAAAGCGATAGCTCGTTAATGGGTAATGATGAGAATGAAGAGGTAGAGATTAGCATTCCTGCAGAGAAGGAAAACATTGGCTTATTCTCGAAGACGATAGATGTTGAGTCGTGTCTAAATGCTAAGCCTGAGACCTATGAGCTAACTTTCAAGAACTCGAATTTGAAGATGAGCCCATCAGTTGAAGAACAGGTAAACAAAGAAACAAGTCCTTCAACCAAGCAAGCTGGACAATGCTCAAATAAAGAAAAAGATATATCAAAGGAACACTGTGAATTAAATTCACTCCCTACGAAGAAGCAATCTGAAGAGACAGTCGAAATGGAATTAGTACCCGATGGTACTAAGCTAGAGGAGGATGCGACATCTGAAGAAAAGTGTGGCGACAAACTTCCTCAACACGCTGGTAAAGATTATAGAGAATCATCAGTCTACAGAAACATCGTGACAGATGGTGTTGACAACAATACTTATGAGGCTTTGAAAGAAAAGGTGAAGGAGATGCAGAAGAAAATTGAATACCTTCTGAGTATGCAAACAGAAGAACAACAACAACAGTCACCCTCCTTCAGAAGAGACTACAAGAGTCCGGAATTTTTAACTACCAAAAGAAGCAGAAGTTGCAGAGAGAATCTCTTGTGTGCTAGATCTCCTGGTTGGTTTGATAATCTGAAAGCTAGTAACAATACCTCACCTTCCTGGAGGGTTAGGGAGTTAAAGGCATCTCCCAGGAGCAAGACTTCGAGCATTTCTTTTGATTCAGGGAGCTCTATGAGTTCTACTCCCATTGATGCGCAAAGCCTGAAAGACTGTGATCCGGAAACGGGCAATAGCTTCCATGAATTTGTAGCAGGTCTCGAAGAAATGGCAAGGCAGCACTCAATTGACTCGACACCTGACCTAGATTATGAAATTGATATCAAGCAGGAAATCCCTGGAAATAACAGAAATGAAGAAACCATAGTTGCCAACAATGATCAATTCGAGCAAGAAAAGGATTTGGTAAGTGACATCTTTTCTTTGTTTTGAACTCTTTCTTAGGAAGATAAAAGATTGCATGCTTTCTTAACAGTTTAGAAGATCACAAAATTTCAGGTAGAAGAAGCAGCAGTACCTAAGGAAACAGATTCCACAGAGACTTTCCCAGAGAAAGGACAATATCCAAGAAACTTATCAGACTTTGAGAGACAGCAACGGCAAATAATTGAGCTTTGGGCGGTATGCAATGTACCACTGGTTCACAGAACCTACTTCTTCTTGCTCTTCAAAGGTGATCCATCGGACTATGTTTACATGGAAGTTGAACTCAGAAGGCTCTCTTTTCTGAAGCAAACGATAACTAATGACACGGAAACATCAAGGTTATTTTTTTGCAACGAACTGCATCAGTGACCCACCGATTAAGTATTATGCTAAGAACTTCTTATGGTTTCTAATCAGGATACAAACAGTGAAGGCACTCACACGCGAGAAGGAATGGCTTTCGAAACAAATACCAAAAAAATTCCCATGGAACCAGAGAATAGAACTTTACCGAAAATGGGGCGTCGAGGTGAACTCAAAGCAGAGAAGTCTGCAGGTGGCGTACAAAGTGTGGACTAACATAGAAGACATGGAACACATAAAAGAGAGTGCTTCTCTTGTCGCAAAGCTGCTTGGATTTGTTGAGTCAAGTCGAATGCCAAAGGAAATGTTTGGCCTCAGCTTGTTGCCTGGAAAAGAGAACGTAAAATCATCTGGCTGGAGATTTACCAAATCTTTCTCCAGTATGCGCTTGGCCGGATCATAAAAAGGACACATACACAGTTCTCGCTGTGAAAGGTTGTATGTAAAATTACTAAATTTCTAGACATCAAACCGCAACAAAATTAATCTTTGAATATTTATTTTTTTGTGATTCTAACTAGAAATTTTTACTCTCTTCAATTTTCTTAATCAAAGCTAACTGCTTGAGCTTTGATTCCCACATTTACAATATAGTGTGCAAACCATTCAGACTACCATAAAAAAATATCAAAATTTCCCACAGCATTAAAAATGATGATTTCACGCATATGACATGTACCATTCTATTTATTTATAGAAACATAAGGAACAAGTCAAAAACTTTCATATATACTTTACAAAAAAAAAAAAAAAAATTCATATATTAGATGAGCAAAAATTTAGAAAATTTTCAAAATTAAATTTGATTAAGTAGAACATAATAAAGTGAATTACTTAATAGTTAGTTTAGCTATATATAAATATATATATAAGCATGTTACCAAAAAAAAATCATATTTTTGCGAGTTAAAAACTATTATCAATACACTTCTTCTGTTATTTTTTTTTTTAAAATTCGCCTCTACCATATAGGATGGAGACAACCCTTCAACTCTTATTTATAGTCTTGACTATCTTCACCGTTATTGTGCTAGATTTGTATTTATATTTTAAGTTAATCCTAACATATTACATATACTCGTTATAAAATAAACTGATCATGAATATATATGATACTAAATATTTTAAAAATATCATCCTGTCTATACTGTGTAAAATACATCATAACGAGGTGATGATCCGCACATATGCGCAGAGTATAATTTATATATTAATAATCATTAAATACTAATTTTCATTGTTCAATCATCATGTGATAATTTTAACCGTCAATAAAAGGTTAATAAGTAAGGTAATGTTTGTTGATATTTTTTTTAAACCTATTTAAGTACATTAAGCTTCAATAATATCATCCATAAGTTAAAATTCACCATCTCACTTGGATATGAAAAATTGTATTTTTGAAATAATAAACAAATTTTGAGAATGAACATTTATTATGTATAAAAATCAGTTATACATATTAGTATTTATTTTATATTTGTTTACGTATTATGCAATAATAAGTATATTGAATAATTGAGAAGCGACTAACTATTACGTATATAGTTAAACTAGAATAAACATATAAATAAACACCATCCTTCTTTGTATTTATAATATTATTTTGTTGGTAAAAAGAAAAATAATTAATTATTTGTTTTATATGTGTATAATTAAAATTAAAAAATATTAAGAAAATTATATGATATAATTTAATATGAATATTTATAATCCGATGCTTCCTACTCAAAGCAATATTTGAAATTAACATGTTTATGTATTATATATATATATACAATATATATATATATATATATATACTCTGAATATATATTAAAGAGATTTCATAGTTATATGATTTTATGATCATTTGTATTTTGTTATAACTAAAAGTTAAATCATTGATCACATAAATTTCAATGTTGACTTTTAACAATTTTCGTAATTTATAATCTTTAAAAAAATCAAAATATACCATATAAGAAAAAATCTAATTTTTATTGTATTATAAATATGATTGTTTAATTTATTTTAAGAATATAAAATTAAAAAATGATTGTTATCAAATCTTTATTATTCAAAATCATTAATTGTCATATATTTGTTAACCATATTAGATAATTTCGTAGTTTTTATTTAAGAAAATAATAGAAAAATTCTTTTATACACTACCAATTAATTGTATAGTTAGTTTAATAAAATGTATAATATATATAGAGATGAACCAACTTATTTTTTTAAAGATTCTAAGAATCAATGTAGTGAAGATACGTGTCTACCAAAATATGTTGTAATGTTCCAAGATTAATATATAAGGGATTTATATACTGTAGAAGTTGTTAGTTCAAATATCTCTTTTATCTTAATTTCTTACATACATAAAAGGGAAATTTGCCAAATATGACTCAAAACTTGGATACAAATACAAAAGTAAACCCAAACATGAATCAAATGCAAAAGTAACCTAAAATGCTATTGAAATTACAACAAGCCCCTTATGAACAAACAAAAAACCCTAATTTTTTTTACGTTTCTAACTCCCGTAAGTATTCTATCCAGACGACTTTCAATTAAATTGTCTGGACGACTTAGTTGAAAGTCGTCCAGTATATTTATTCTTAAAAATAGTTTAATTTTTTTTTTTAAAATATTTAGATAAGTGAAAAATTGAAATCATGTAATTAACATATGTTTTAAGAGATATAAATTAAGATATAACAACATTTAATTGTTTTCAACATAGATGATTGAAAGTAGTGAGTCATGATATTCTTTGGTTTAGCTTTTTCCAACATATGTTGTAGTATTGTATGTGTTTCTTAGGGTTAGATTTTCGAAAGCATAAATGTTTTTTTGAAAAATTTTAAATTTACCTAAGTGTGTTTATTTCTATGTATAGTAAACACTATTTAAGTATAATTTTATTTTATAACGTGGTTAATTTAATCAATTTTGTTTAGGGGGTTAGGGTTTAGGGTCTAGACTACTTACTATTAAGTCGTCTGGTAAATATATTTAAGATAGACGACTTACTAGTAAGTCGTCTGATATATAGTATCAACAGACGACTTAATAATAAGTCGTCCAAACCAGACCGAACCTTTGATTTTACCAATTTTCTTTTAAACCTAACAGATTTTTTATCGGATATATATAAGATTTTTTTTTACTCACTTTTTCGCGAAATCCAGAAAACCCTAACGCCGTTTCTCTCGAAGGTGATTTCAAAGGAGATTTCCGTCGAATCTCTCTAATCCATCGTTCTCAACGCCGGTTTTCTCTCTGCCATAGCAACGTCGTTATCACCACCGTTCTCACCGCTGCTTACTCTATTTCAGATCTGAGAGGAAACCCTATCGCCGTTTTTCTATAAACCCTAACGCTGTTTCTTTTAGAGGCGTTTCGTTGAACTCTGCCGCTGGTAAGTTATATCTAAAGAAGAACATGAAACATCGTTCTCACTGTCGTTCTCATCGCGCTTCTTTTTTCACGTCTTTTTTTGCAGATCTATAACCGCTGTGTCGAAGGCGACTATATCTTCTCTGAATTTTCAGGTCAGCTTTCCAATCTTCTACTGGAAGTCTTGGTAGACTTATAATTAAGTCGTCTGGAAAGTCTTCCAGGTGGAAGACTTTCCAGACGACTTAAATATAAGTCTTTCAACGCGAAGAATTGATAGACGACTTAATTATAAGTCGTCTGGAAAGTCTTCCAGACTTATAATTAAAATGTTATACTGGTGGTTGTGTGTTTGAGAATGTTGTCTTTGATTGTTTTGCAGAAAAATGGATATTTCAGAACTCCCTCATAGGATATATACAGTAGGGCAAGAGCCGCCCCCCCTCCATTGCATAGCATTTCGTATCATCCGTGTACGAATTTGTATACTGCTCTAAAGAATGCTCTTAATGATGAAGAATATGAAGAGCTGAAGGAGTCTAAGTTGAGAGTTTTCATCAAGTTCCAAGAGCTGGATTTTTCATGGGCTTCAAGGCTGGTTCACTACATGCTCGGTTTGCAGCTCGACATAAAGAAGAAGTATGAGCTGTGGAGTATTGTTGGTCCACAATCTTTGAGGTTTTCACTGTTAGAGTTTGAAAACTTCACTAGTATAAACTGCGAGTACATCGAGGACCTTGAGAGACCAAACTGTCATGTTACAGAGGAGTTGGCTGCTTTTTGGGAGTTGTTGGGAGTTAATATCAAAGCTGGGCCAACTACTGATCAGATAATAGCAGCATTTAAGAGATGCGAAAGGTGGTCTCCGGATGATCGCAATCGGCTCGGGTACCTTGTCATCTTCACTGGATACATTGAAGGGAGGAAGTTTTCAACCCCTACATAGGCTGTTCTGGCAAAGCTAGTGATGGATCTAGAACGGTTTTAGAATTATCCATGGGGGAGAGTCGCGTTTAAGGTGTTGATGGACTCTGTGAAGGGCAAAGATATATCGGGTTGTTACACCATTGATGGGTTTTTACAGGCTCTCTAGGTCTGGGTGTACACAGCTCTGCCGGAATTGGGTGCTACTCATGGTAATCCCATACCAAACAGACCGTCTCCACCGATACTGGATTACAAGGGTGGCAAAGGACGAAGATTGTTTAAAGAAGCTATTGAAAGACAGGTATTCACTTCATCCCAAAAGATTTTTTGAAAACTTATGAATAAGTCATCTGGAAAGTCTTTCAGCTGGACGACTTAAACATAAGTTGTCTAAAGTCTTCTAGTTGGACGACTTAAACATAAGTCGTCTGAAAAGTCTTCCAGCTGGATGACTTAGCAGACTACTTATTATTAAGTCGTCTGGGTAGTCTTCCCAGATGACTTAATGATAAGTCCTCTACTAAGTCATCCAGCTGGAAGACTTTCCAGACGACTTAATACTAAGTCCTCTACTAAGTTATCCAGCTGGATGATTTAGTAGAGGACTTATCATTAAGTCGTCCGGGAAGACTACCCAGACAATTTAATAATAAGTAGTCTGCTAAGTCATCCAGATGGAAGACTTCCCAGACGACTTAATCATAAGTTTTCTGTGAAATCTTTTCTTTCCATCTTTCTTAATCTGTCAATATCTAAGTTTATATCTTCTATTTACTGCAGATTAGGGTGATGAAATTTGTTGAGAAGGGCACTGGTTAAATTTTTCCAAAATGGGACTCTGATGCTGAGGACTCGGCCGCCGAGAACATAATAAAACTCATATATATATAAAAAGACCATGGAATTGGACCATGGATTGCTGGGAAGTCACCGGTACTTGGGTCAAGACAAAGCCGGCAGCAAAGAAAGCGAAGAAAGAGATAGTTCTAGTGAAGGAAGAGAGTCCAAGACCTCTTAAGAAAGCTCGTAAAGAGCATATTGAGGGGCTACCTGCAGAGTTAGAGGAAGAGGAAGAGGAAGACGCAGGGGAAGAGGCAGTTGAATAGGCAGAGGTGAGTACCAATGTTGGTGGGCTGACCAAATAGGATATTGAAAGAATCTTGAAGG